CGGGAGGGGAAAAAAAGAAAATCTGCTTCTCAAATGTCAAGGACTTGAAAGACTAAAAATACATCACCGGAATAAATAAATTAACCCAGCCGACAGGACTGATGCTCTGCAGGCATCAGGGATTAAATAAATTCACTAAATTCAAAGTGGTATTGCAGATAAGAGCTTTTTGTGCTGCAGCATGTACAGCTTATTGATTGTAGGATTGAGGTGCTGTGCACTCTTGTAAAAGGGGCTGGGGCTGATAGGGCTTAATCCTGCCCTAATGCAGAGCCCGGTGCTCAGAGCGTGGGGCCAGCCCGGATTTCCTCATTTAGTTTAATTTGGTTTGGGTCTTGGTTTGCTGCACCCCACCTGTGCCTCTCCCTGGGCAGTGCCTGAGGGACAAGAGGCACTGCAGAAGGTGCTGACTTAGCAGGATGAGGGCTGGGGCAGGAATGCTCCTGGGAATCTGCCTGGGTTGTCTTCCAGAGGGATGTGAAGCCTCGGCACCTCTCGTGTTGCATAGGGGGGCTGCAACCCCGAGCTCAGGGGATGGAGGGACCTTTTGGGGGGAGATCCTTGTTCTGCAGCCCCACCTTTTGTTACAGGAGCCCACCAAGGCAGCAGGAGTGTGTGTGACCAAGGTGAAAACACTGTTCCTGTCCAGAGAAGACGGATTTTTCCGGACAAAAAGAAAAAGTGGAAAGGTTTAAGTGCTGCTGGGTCAAAGCAATCCCAGAGGGGATTATACACATGTCTGGAACGAAGGTTGGTAAATTCCTGTCAACCTATTTTCCATGGCAGAGGGGGTTTTCACCCTCCTGGTCAGATCTGAACTGCCAAATTCACTCCACACTAATACAGAAGGACATTTCTTTCCTCCTTTGGAAGCTCACCTGCCTCTGGTTCTTAGCTCAGGTCTGTGCAGGTTTCTCTGAAGAGCCAGCAGAGCTCTCCAAACACAGAATTTTATAATTTACCAAGAAAGGGAAAACCCTCCAGGCCTCTGGGAGTGTGAGAAAGCAGCTGGGCATGGCAGTGATGCTCTCATGGAGTGCTGGTCTCCTGGTCCATGTCTCCTTGAGTCAGGTAGTCCCAGGTATCAGAACCTTCCCAGCCTCAGGGAGTCCTTGGGTGTCAATTTTCTGGTAAAAAAGATGATCTGACCAACAGGAAAAACTTTTATTATCAATTGCTGTCTACCAGGTATGAGGGAATATCTCCCTGCTATGAAAGAAGGAGCTACAGGGACTTGACTTTTGGGTAACCTCCTCAAATCCCTGTATCTCTCCCTCAGGTTTGGCAAATCTCCCAGTATCCAACTTCACCAAAATCCAGCCTCTTAATCTCAAGACACATCATCTCTCCTACGTAACTCTGCCTCCTGAGCACGATCACAGGGCCTGCATTTCAACACCCAAGATTCATTAATATTTCCTGCAGAGTGTTCAGTAAGTAGCAAATAAAGCAGGAAGTGTCCCAGATGTTGGAAAGAAAAAATGGAATTATTCATTGCTTACTAACATCAAATGCTAATCTGAGAAAAGCATCCTTGAAGAAATCCTTGACTAAAATTCATCAGAGTGATGTGAAATCACTGTTTTAATTATGCATCTTTGAATGTATTTATTAGTCCCGGTTCTGATCTGACTTACAGATGTTTAACAGTGATAAGGGTCTGCTGCATCTTCGGAATTACTCGTGATTTATAATGACAAAACTTGGATCAGAATTAGGTCCTTGTCACTACTCTATAATATCCTTTCATCAAACTTCCTCACATGCAACAGATGAAAGCAAAAACGTGGTTTCTGCAATTTCAGGCCTCACCACTGAGCTCGTTAGGCTGGGGTTTGAAATTTCTCCTCCAGAAATGATGATTCTTGCACAAAATGTTGTCCGCTTGAGCTCTGCTCATCACGGGAAACTTGGGAGCAAAGGGGACTCTTTATTCCACCAAAAAGGTGTGTTTGGTTAACCTTGTGCTGGCTGTAAATGTGGAGTTATAATAGAGGAGTCAATTCTTCAGTTATGCAGCTCTATAATATCATTCTCTCTTATTGTTGTGACTATTAGATGTATATCTATATCTAACACTGGGAGATTTGCCAAACCTATGGGAAATAGGGGAATTTGATGGGGTTACCCAAAACCTCAATACCAGATGACTATTGGAGAGACTGTGCTCAATACCAAAGATGTTTAAAACAAAACACCCTCTGTTCAAGACTGATTCGAAGCCACCTGTGTTGCCAAAGAATGATGGAGTTTTAAACTACTGCTTGTTCTAGAGCTGATCCAGAAAGAGCAGGTCTCCAGGGATGGTTTACTCCCTAAGGCGTGACTGCATGATTCAGCTCAATGTATTCCATAAATGCCTTGATGACACTAAACTAAATTTTTTAAAGAACAGATGGAGAAAGTTAATAAATATTTCATTCTATAATATAAAACTCACTTCTATATTCACAACTTCAGGGATGCTCAGCTTCACAGATACCAATAAGTCTGATGGATTTCTTGCTGCATTCTCATTCTTCTGCCCTGGTGTCTCTTATGGGATCATCATTCCTGCATGCTTGGTTTGTTTTATGGGATCAAGGAAAGGCAAGTGACTGTAAATCTTGACCTCCTCTGCTCCTGGGTTATATACTTTTATTCTTTGTGACCATAAGTGTTCGTCTCCACACTGAATAGATAATTAAATGACAAAAATTATTCAAAGGGAATTTATAGTGAGAAATTATCCCTTGAAGAACTGATAGGGCACAGGCATAACCCAAGGAGATACCAGGAAAAAACCCAGTTTAGAATGGCCAAATAAAACACTGAAATATCTGTGTATTTATAAACGTCATGAAAAATCCATTTCCTGGGAAAAACCACTATTTTTACCTGCCTATCCCAATTCTGTTCAAATAAAATTTCTATGAAGGGAAAACAGTGTGAATATTGCTTAAGAACTGGAGACCAAGCCAGTTATTCATATGAAAGAACTAATCTTTCCATGTGGGAATTACAATTTCTCACTCTATGTATGCCATGAATCTTGTAAAAGAATAATTAGAACTTGCTCCAAAAGGAAAGAAACGCCAGACTTGAATAATATTTTAGGAAGAGCATTAACAAACAGTTTTATACTGCCAACAATCTTCTAGAAGAGATTTACATTCCATTATTAATTAACTGTACTGAGTCAATAGCATGACATAAAGCTCAGGAGATGTATGTTTAGCACAAACTCTGACATTCAGGAGAACTGCACACATTTGGAGGAAGTTTGATTTAAAATTTATGCAAACGAGCTCAGCAAGCAAAGACCCCACAAACTACTTCAAAGCATCCCCATCCAGCCCGAAAAACATGACAAGATCAAATCTTTGTCATCTCTCAAGTGTCTTTCCAAAGCTCCGCATATTCAGTGTAAATTATATTCCCCCCCCCCCCAGTACCTGGATGGTTTGGTGTAGAATTAGGGATGCTTTGCTCTTCTGACACTGCCACGTCAGACAAGGGACACGTGAGTGATTGGAAGAATTTAAATATATCTAAATGATATGGAAATTGTCCTTGTGGAGCTGACTCCTGTGCAGAGTCCGTAGAATACAAAGTCCCACGCTGAGCTGGCTCACAGGGTCGACCACAACCAAGCAAAGAAAAAATACCAGGGCTATTGTCCCCTTCCCCTTTCCCCCCAGCTCTGACCATCCTTCTGGTTTAGGGTTAAGAAACCTCATAAAACTGTGTCCAGGGAAAATATTAAATTCAGAGTAACGACAAAAACTATTCCAAGGGAATTTATAGTGACAAATTATCACTTGAAGAAGTGATGGGGCACAGATAACCCAAGGAGATACCATGATATCATGCTATTGTTTCCACCTCCTTTTCCCTCAGCTCTGGCCATCTTTCTGGTTTTGGGTTGAGAAACCTCACAAAACTGTCTGCAGGAAAACATTAAATCCAGAGTAACGACAAACATTATTCAAAGGGATTTTATAGTGAGAAATTATAAGAACTGATGGGGCACAGGCATAAACCATGGTTTCATTGTCCCCCCTCCTTTTCCCTCGACCCTGACCATCTTTCAGTTTTTGGGATGTGGATCCCCACAACACTGTGTCCAGGGAAAATATTAAATGTGGAGTAACACATTGCTGTAAAGAAATACTAATTAATTCAGGTTAAGTTTCATGCCACAGAAATTGGTTTATTCCCTTATTGAAAGTTAGGTTAGGTCCAGGTAAATTTGTATCTTCAGAATCAGGGCTTTTAAGGAAAAAAAAAAGTTTCTCGTGTTTCCCGACATCCCATTAAAAAGGTTGTCCTTTGACGTCAATTAGAGCCAGCTAAGGAAAAAAAATCATCCTTAATTGCTTTTCAGAAACAGACATTAGAATGTCCCCCTTGCAGCCAGATTCGATTACCTTTTACAAGAAACAAGGATGCTGGGAATGCCATAAAACTCCGGCTCTGCTGAATATGGATGTGGGGCTCTGCTGACAATCCATGGAGCTGCTTTTCCTTGGGCTGCAGAGAAAGCTCATGCAAGGCCCACAGACACCCCTAAACTTTTCCAAAGTGTAAAAATGCTGAAGCTGGGTTTGCATCTGGCTGGTTTTGGGACAGCTCTGCAACGGAGCGAAGCTGGGAGAGCTGGGGGTGTTCACCTGGAGAGAAGGATCCACAGAGACCTGAGAGCTCCTTCCAGCGCCTAAAGGGGAAGAGCTGGAGAGGGACCTTGGACAAGGGTGTGAAGGAACAGGACAAAGGGGACTGGCTTCCCACTGCCAGAGGGCAGGGTTAGATGGGATATTGGGAAGGAATTCCTGGCTGTGAGGGTGGGGAGGCCCTGGCACAGGTTGCCCAGAGAAGCTGTGGCTGCCCCTGGATCTCTGGAAGTGTCCAGGCCAGGTTGGACGGGGCTTGGAGCAACCTGGGCTAGTGGAAAGTGTCCCTGCCCATGGCAGGGGGTGGAATGAGATGGATTTAAGGTCCCTCCCCACCCAAACCATTCTATGGATGCTCAGTGCTCCAGCCCTGCCTCCACGTAAGAGTGAGTGTGATTTACCCCGACAATTACAGCTACAAAAATGATCTAGTCCTCAAAAACTTATGCCTGTTTCTTTACATCACCAAAGCCTTCTCCAAACTTGTCTTACTCCAGGGACTCCATAATGTCTCTGCCCACCAGGAAGAAGAGGAGTCCAGCCAGCAGGACCAGGGGCACCCCGGCTGCGGCGAACATGAACGACCACCCGTAGTAGACGTGCACGGGGACGTCGTCCAGGCACCTCTCGCTCCTCTCCAGCAGGATGTACTTCTGGAAGTCAGCAGCAAACTCCTTCCACATCACGAAGAGAAACACCAGCAGGAGAAATAAACCTCCTGGAGAGGGAGACAGAGATGAGTTATTGTCTGCACAGGGAATACGGGAGTAAAAGTAAGAAGAGATCTCAACAGATCTCCAGTTATCCCTGCAGGTCCTTCAGCCAAAGCTTACTGTTGCAGCATTGTTACCCATGATGTTTCTCTGCAGGTTCCTGTGGAAGCCAAGCCCTCTTGTCCTGGAGGAGACCACACTGTGACAAGTTCCTGCCCACTGACACCTCATGCTTTAACAATCAGGCTCTGCTACACCTGGACATGGGCACGAGGAGCAATCGTGAACACCACTCGTGTTCTCAGCAGGGACCTGAATTCCTCTCCCAGCAGTGCTTTTTTGCCTTTTGAATTTCTCTGAGATGAATGAGGAGACACCAAGACTCACTTTTTCCTTTTTTGTATCTACCCTTCCAAGCAGTGTTAAATCCAACTTCCAATTTAGAAATGCAAGGATGTGGGAATCAGTCCTGCCGATGGCAACTGAACCTGCCACCCCCAGCAGGTGCAGATGATCCTATTTTGCAAGGAAATAACACATAATAGGGTGGGAAAAGCATGTAGCCCCGAGATACCAATCTTAGATGGGCTACAAAATAACAGAGTAATAAAAAAAAAAAAATAATAAGCAGCTTTTACCAGGAGGCTACAAAGACTTCACATGGGCGAGTGAGACCTCCTGGCCCTCCTGGAGCCAGACAGAGGAAAGCTGAGGCCACACAAAGCCTGAGCAGTGAGTGCAAGGTCAGCATCTCTCCTGGAGGGGTCTGCTCTCCTTGGAGCCTCTCTGGCCTTGCAGGATGCCCATGACCCAAACAGGTCTCCCAGGAGATCTCCCCATCTCGTATTTCCAGCTGCATTCCCGTCGAAGGTCAGCGGGAAGAGCTTGGTCACATCTGAAAAGCACGTGGTGAACAGGCACCTCCTGGACCTGGGACCTTCAGTGCCTTAATAGGAACCTCCTTTCCCCATAATCCAAGTGCTGGAGGTTTAGTTTCCCCCGTATGAAGCAGATGACAAAAACTAGAGTGGCCCAAATACTATTTACTGCATGTAATTAAAAATATATATTAGTTGTAATATATGTTGAATTTAAACTGCACTCAGCAGTGATGGTGTGATGACAGGTCTGAAAGCACTTCAGTAATATCTGATCTTGGTACTTCACAGCCAGAAGCTACTATTTTTAAAAGGTGCTGTATAACATATAGATACATACACACACATATGAAAGAAATACATCACAGCTTATAATATTTTTGTGGTAGAAGTGAACAGCTCAAAATTAATTCAGTTGACAAGTTACCACACAGCTCCGTGGATGTGTTGTGGCTTCTGCAGGATTTAATTTCTCCCCTTGCCATTTTTAAATCAAAGGTAGTTGTAGCGTATTTCATTATTCTCCCTGGCAGCTTATGCACTCCAAAATCCAACTCTTTTGCTAAGGAAAGGAAGGGGGTAAAGCCTGATGTTGATTTATCTGCTTAGTGATTACTGAGTCCTCAGTCAGAGAAAACATGCCAGTGTTTTACTGTGATTCTGTTTATAATGGATATAAACAGCCAAAAATGAGATTTACAGGAAGGTAAGAGGGTTCAAAGTGCTCATTACGAGTTATACAGAAGTTGAAGCTACCCATCCTAAACTGTCACATCCATTACACTGCCTCCCACACCCTAAAAAATGGAATCTTATCAACAAAAAATCAGCGTAACCATATGAATATCCTTTACCTCACCCTACACTGTCATTTCAAGTGGTTTTCCCTGATGTGGAGAAGTCCTTGTGTTCACTGGAGAGGCAGGCGAGGAGTTAAACAGCAGCTGCTGGAACATTTGCATGTTCATTGAGGTTTTGATACCACTTGAAATTAAGTGCACAAATAAATATTTTACACTTACCATGATAGTTGTATGCTTAAAATACCAATTATTCTACTGTAAGAAAACCATCGTGTGTTTAAATAGTCGCATGTCCTTTACAAAATACAATGTATTGATAAGAAGGCAATTAAGTCTTTATTACCGATGTAATTTAAAATTAAATTAATTAGATAGCAACTGAACCTTGAAAAGTGCTCTTTTAAAGATCAATTTCTATTTCATTAACTTATAATACCTATGGTAAGAGACACAAATGAAACCGTAGCCCCAGTGGGAGAGAGAACGTGGCCTGGTAAAGTGCTTTGGAATTCTCCTATTTTTCTTTAAATAACCAGGAATTCTGTGCTGACTTGTCCCAGGACAATTTAGATGGTACAAGTCTCCTTTTTTTGAAGTAATCAGATCAAAACCTTCCAGTTCTTACTGAGGAGGGTGTGAAAAGTCCCACGAGTGGTGGCCCCATCCCCAACCTTGCCAGGAGCTAAGGATTCGGATTGATCCCTCCCCTTGCCCCAGGAGAAGTGCCAGGCCTTGGTAGGGAAGGATTTATTATTAAACAGGTACTGGAGGTGATGGCACAGCCATGGCATCTAAATTAAGAATGTTTTCACACTCTGGGAAAATGACAAGAAACTGTAAAGTAAGCAGCCTTCTTCCCCGGAATAATTACAGCTGAGTGACAAAGAGTCCCTGGGATTTGCACCATGTCCTCAGCGAGAAGAGAAAATCAGAAGGGCAGGTGCAGCCAAAGGACGGTGGGAGCACAGAGAAAGGGCGGCTCAACAAAAATTGCTTAGCTAAAAGTGCCTGTTTGGAGCACTCACAAGTATTCATGAAAGTGCCTAAAATTTGTCACCCTCACAGCCATCAGCAGACTCTTCATAACGACAAAACCAGGAGCTTTCACCTCCAGGTTACCAAAGTGTTTGGCATTTTTGTTTGAAAACGCTGTTTTATTTTGGATTTTTCATCTTTTGAACAGGTCTCACTTTACCACCTCCTTTCTTGGATGCTCTGGAAAGTCATCTTCGTTTCCTGCCAGCTTTTGGTGTGCAGAGACAGATTCCCTCCTGCCTTGAGCAGTAAAATGAAAAACTGAAGAAAACGCAATTTTTCTGCCCTAAAAATGAGACTGGCATCGGCACCCACATCTGTGAGACAGGATGCATGTCAGGTTTGGGGAAGGGGAAGTGAAGACCTCATCAGCCCAAACCATCCTTACAATGCTCTCAGCATCCCTGTGGTTTCTACCACTGGAAAATTACCCAGGTGATCTCTCTCCTTCTCTGCCTCTGTTCATCAGGATGGTACAGGAAAAAATTAACTGTGAAACTCCATCTCGGTGCTGATGAGGTCAATGGCATCTTCTGGGGAGGGGCTAATTGCAAGTAAATTGAAGTGGGGTATTAAATCTGTCTCCTTTGAACGCTGCAGAACAAGGGACCCCGGTGGTCCATCCCCCCCTCCCAGAGCTGCATCTTCCCTGTGGGTAAATTGGAGTCGAGCTTTTCCTTTCTCTCTCTTGATTTCCTTGTGACACCTTTATAGCTGCTAATTGTAGGGACAGGTGAGTGAACTCAATCTTTAACTCTTATTCTGTGGAAGCTACTGAACTTTTGTGCAATCTGCTAATTATGACAATAATGAACTTTGACTCCTTCTCCTCTTTCACCAGTTGCCTCTTAAGGATGTTAATAATGAGGAAATGGAGGGGTGACCTTCAGCTGCCCTTCCAGAAGTGTCAGCCTTTACTGCACGTGGGGAGCCTCAGACTGCCAAAGTGCTGCTGGATTTGGGATAATCTGAGCAAAAAATTCAGCACTTTAACTCACAGGTCTGGGAAATCTGCCTCTTTTTTTCATGCTGTTGGGTCACGTTGAAGAACAGGTTAGTCCCACCACAGGCAGGGATGCCACCCACTAGACCAGGTTGCTGCAAGACCTGACCAACCTGACCTTGGACACTTCCAGGGATAGGGCAGTCACAGCTTCTCTGGGCACCCTGTGCCAGGGCCTCACTTCTAATGTCCAAAAGGAATCAAAACTGAGGAGCACAAGGTAGAGAAAATGAAGAAGTACAAACAAAGTTGTCTCAGCATTTCAAAGAGTTTCCAAAAGCTGCAGCACAGAATTCACCCACCCCTCTCACTGACACTGTGGTGATAATTAATCATGTTGTCATCTGACTTTTGAAACAAGGGGACAATTAGTCACCAGGCAGGATCTGCCACCCCCTCGGAAGTGCCGAAGTTCAGACCGGGATGGCAAATACTGGAAGGGAAGCAGCACACTGGCTATTTACTTGTGTATTCCAGGTTTTGGGAGCAGGCTGGCAGGGAGAGCTGCCCAGCTGGGGCAGTGGACACGCAAATGCAGCAGCAGCAAATGCCAGACGGGCTCTGGCTGCCTTTCCCAAGTCACCCAGCAGAGGAAATCAAGGAACGTGGCTCTGGCCCTTTGAAAGGGCTCCCAGAAACACCTCCCATGGAGCAGTCCATTGGTTACAGTGCTGGCACACAGTCACATTTGTCCCCTTGAAAGTACAAAAAAAAACAAGGCTTCTCAAAGAGGAAACCCAAAGGGTTTATTGAACAGTAACAACCTTCACCCTTTAGCACTGAATTCCCCTGGCACAGAGGGACACATGTGACTCCTCAAGACCATGTGAGGCTGGTTATCCATGAATGCTTGGGAGTGAGTTTTAAATACTTTTAGAGCCTTTTTGGTGGCCAAAGTTACATCATTTTGCAGTGATTAACCATGGCTGTGCTGTCACAACCTCCACCAAAAGGAAGGGGTTCGTGGACAGAATGGAGTTGCCTACGAAGGATTCCCTGAGAGGTCAACGTGGTGCCCCATCTCACCACCCGACTGCCAGCCCACCTTCCCACTCTACAGATTGCCAGCATTTTCACACTTCCTCGAGGAGAGATCATTTCTGCAAGGGAGGTTAATTAACACTGACCCCCAGGCCATGATTAGAAGACAAGAAGCGCTTTCTCCTGCATCATCCCTCCCTCCACATCCCGCTGTCCCAGGGAAAGGGGTGGCTGGGGAGCTGAAGCTGTGGTGAATCTATTGTTCCTGCTGCTTAGCACAATTATGCAGAAGATTTTTAGAAAGGATAACGAGAAAATAGCCACGGAGGGATGGAAGCTGAATCCATCAGGAAGCCAAGGCCAAGCAGGATCCAGAGGCCTGAGTTCAGGATAAGCCCCCCCAAAATAAAAGGAACAGCTGGAACACTAAGGAAACTTTGCTGAAAAACATCTTGCATCCTCCTGCTCTCATTTGGATTGAAAATACAGCAGGAAGTGTCTTCCAGCTGAACTCATTCCCCTAACGACTGTTAATAACAATGATTGCTGTTCACATTGAAGCTGCATTAATACAAACTTCAGTTTTAACAGCAGCATCTTTGTCTAATGCCAAGAGGTTTATGTGAAGCATAATCAGCTCTCTTAAAAAGTGTCACATTCTACGCCCCAGCCCTTTAATCAAGAAGTAGTCAAATAAAGTGCAAAAACAATGAAAAAAAGAAAAAGAAAGAAGATTTTCAGTCTCACTCGACAACCTTTTCTGTGATATCTCTGCCCAACATGCAGAGTGGACACACTCCCTGGGGACATCTGCTGCCTCCCTGGGGCCTGGGTTACGGATGGGAAGAGAAAGTTTTCTGCCCTGGTGCAACCCTTGGATTTTTATCCATTATGGGGTCACAACAGCCCCATGGAAAGCTACAGGTTTGGGGCAGACTGGCTGGAAATCTGCTCGGGGGAAAAGCACCTGGGGGTGCTTGACAGTGGCTGAACACAAGCCCAGGTGGGTGAGAGGCTAAGGGCACCTGGCTTGGATCAGGAACAGTGTCACAGGCCCCGTGCCCATCCCTGTGCTGGCACTGCTGGGGTGCCTCCAGTGCTGGGGGCACTTCTGGGACCCTCAGGACAAGAGAGACAGTGAGGGGCTGGAGCTTGTCCAGGGAAGGGAACGGAGCTGGGGAAGGGGCTGAAGCACCAGGAGCAGCTGAGGGAGCTGGGGGGGCTCAGCCTGGAGAAAAGGAGGCTCAGGGGGGACCTTCTGGCTCTGCAACTCCCTGACAGGAGGGGGGAGCCAGAGGGGGTCGGGCTCTGCTCCCAGGGAACAAGGGACAGGATAAGGGGAAACAACTTCAAGCTGTACCACAGGAGGTTCAGGTTGGACATCAGGAGGAATTTCTTCCTGGAAAGGGCTGTCCAGCCCAGGCACAGCTGCCCAGGGCTGTGCCTTCTAAAGCCCTGGAGGGCTTTGGAAGACAGGTAGATGTGGCATCTGGGGACACAGATCAATGTTGGGACCTTTCTTATTAAATATTTTCATTAATGTTTTCAACCCTCCCCAAATTCGGGCACACTTAGAGCCCAAACTGAGAGCAAAGACACTGCCTCATGGTTGATTTATGCCAGATATGAGGAAGCAGGACTGGGTGGAGGACCTGTAATTAAGCTGTGGTTTTTCAGAGAAAGGCCTGATTTCATTACCAAGTTCTTCACTTGGCACAGCTCAGCTGAGATCCAGCCTGGAGCTGCTTGAGTGGCAAAAGAGCTTTTTTCTGAGTTTGAGTTCCCGGTAGTGAAGCCAGTTATTCCTCTCAAATACAGAAAAGGAAAAAGCCCAAGTGATAATTCAATGGAATCATTTGTAACTGCAGTGGGAGTAATGAATAAATGCCTATTTTTAATTCATTTTCCTGCTGTGCCACCGCTTCATCTTTTCAGGTCTCCTTAAGCCAGCCCTCCCATTTTGGATGGCAGGGTTTGCCTTTCATCCCTCTGTGGGTTTCCAGATGTTAACAACAGAGGCAGGAGCAGCCTAAATGCAAAGCCTGACTTCAGGGAACAGAGTGGGGCTGATGCTGCACAGGCTTAACACAGCTTTACTCAAATAAAAGGCTCTGCCTGTCTGGGTTGCATAGAAGAGTAGAAAAAAAAAAGGCAGTTTTCAAAAATCTCAGCTTTGATAGGATTAAGTTCAGCCTGGAGAAGAGAAGACAGAGGGGAGACCCCATTGCAGTTACAACTTCCTCGGGAGGGGCAGAGGAGGGGCAGGCACTGAGCTCTGCTCTGGGGGGACCAGGGACAGGATCCCAAGGAATGGCTGGAGCTGTGTCAGGGCAGGGTTAGGTTGGATCTCAGGAAAAGGTTCTTCCCCCAGAGGCTGGTTGGGCACTGACCAGGCTCCCCAGGGCAGTGGGCACAGCACCAAGCCTGACAGAGCTCCAGGAGGGTTTGGATGATCCCTCAGGCACAGGGTGTGACTCTTGGGGATGGGCCTGTGCAGGGCCAGGAGTTGGACTTGATGATCCTTGTGGGTCCCTTCCAGCTTGGCATATTCTGGGATTCTGTGAAGGACTATCTTGCTAAAGCCTGACTGAGCACAGAATAATGGAATTCCAGAATGGTTTGGGTTGAAAGAGACCTTAAAGGCCATCTCTTTCCAGGGACACCTTCCACTCATATGACTCAGAGCTCACAGGGGTTTAATTCTAGGGAGGGGGAAGAGGGAAATCATTTACTCCAAGCAGTGCAGCTCCCACCAGAGCCCCCGGCAGCACCTCATCCCCTTCTGCCTCCCCTGCATTCCATCCCCTTACCTGAGAGCAGGAGGAATCCACCTCCCACTTTGTAGGAGCGGGGGCTGACGAAGGGAATTCCACAGACCAGCAGGAGCCCCCCCACCAGCGCGGCAGCCACGGCCAGCAGGATGAACGCCGTCCAGAACCCTCTGTACACTGCACAACAGGAGGGGAGTCAGGTAAAGGACAGCAAAAGAGGCTTTCTTCAGTCCATCCTTGAAGATCTTGGACTTCTTTTCCAACCTTAATGACTCTGTGTTTAACCAACAGCAAAAACAACCACCTGCAACAGTGTCGTGTCAGGCAGAGCTGAGGCTCCTGCTTTGCCTGGAGCTGGTGCAAGTTCAGGGTGAATGTCATGCCCTACATAATGGGATTGGAATGAGTACAAGGGGCTGGGAGGGTTTGCCAGGGAAGCAGGCCACAAAAGGGGGGAGAGGAAAGGCCACTGTGCTTAGCTGGGCCTGGAGGAGGATGGAAAAGCTTGGTAAGAAAGGAAAGAAAACAGCAAAATTTGGAGAGGTGGAATCAGCCCAGAGCTTTGTTCTGCTTTAATTAACGCTTAGGGAAGGTGCCAGGTTCCTGGTTTAAAATAAGGGCAGTGTTTGTTGGCAGGACTGCAGGGAAAATGGGAGCTCCTCATTTCCCCCATTAATGGCCTTCGTGACTGGGCAGAACAGGAGAGGGGAACAGCTGCCTCTTCATCCACTGAGCTTGGGGGTTTTGCTGTGACTTCAGGCAACCAGCCCACCCAGGGCTGAGCAAGCTTGTGTCCATCACACCCCACAAGAAGGGACAGGGTGGGATTTAGTCCACTTATTTCAGCCTCCATGCAGCCAAGTCTTTTCCAGTCACTGCTATAAACCTTAGCCAAAGGTGGTGTCTTCTAGCAGAGACCCCCCCAAGCCCCACTTGCTGCTCCCCTGATTTATCTGATCCCCTCAGATCAGCACATCTCACTCCACCTGTTGTTTTTCAGAAGCTCTGGTCTGAGAGATTTAAGCCGAGCACGAGCAAGTGGGTAATGCTGAAATGATTCACACTTGAAAGAAAAATGATACCGAGGAGATGCGTTTTCCTCATTTGAAACCATTTTGTCAGGAGAGCCACTTAGGCAGAGATAAGTATCTTGAACTCTCCAAAACCACTGAATTCATTTTCATGTTTAACCTCCCATCACCCGTTTCTCTCAGGGAGCCTCAGAGGATGCAGATAAGGCAGAATTATCTCTGGAGCAGGTAATAGCTGGAGGACCCTTCTTCTTGGACAGCCTCCTGGTCTGTCAGCACTTGCAAATGAGGATGGACTGGTTAAAAATGAAAGGAGTGTTAACTGCTCTTTGCAGCCCCCGTGGGCGCTTTGCAGGGATTTGGGGCAGTGGAGGATCCCGGTGCTCCCACTGTCCTAAATGTGGGGGCTGAGACACCCCCCTCATCTCCCCAGGGATCACAGGGGTGGGTGGCAGGCAGAGCTCCCTCCCCAGCACCTCCATAGAATCATTAAGGTTGGAAAAGATCTCTATGAACATCGGGATCTTCCTGGGACCTGTCCCAAGAGAGGCAGCTGGGCAGGGTTCATAGCAGGGGCTGACAGACAAGGGCAGATGCCTCCAGCCCTTTATTTAGGACGGGAAAAAAAGTGTGTTTATCAGCAAGACCATTCAGAAACATCATTCCTGCCTCTCCTAAGCAGGAAAAATCCCACTGCTTAATCCATGTGTTTGCTGCACATCCTGCACCCAGCTCCTCCACCTCCTGCCATCCACAGGTTCCTCGTATCCATTTGACACCGCGGCGTGTTCCCCGGGGCAGGAATTCTGCACAGTGCAGCAAGAGAAACTGGCTGCTCTCCCTCACATTCTCCTACTGACAATGTTGGGGTTTTTTTTCCAATTAATTTCTCATAACAAAAAAAAAATAAATAAATAAAACCTAAAAATAAAAAAGGTACTGCTAAAGGCTAAGGAAAAGGTCAAGATGTTTGTTTGTGCAGAACGTCTGCCCTGCATCCCCGGAGGCAGCGCAGACTGATGCACACTATTTAAAGAAATCAATTCATTTCAAAAAAGATCATTGAATTAATTCTAGCTGCTGCCACCAATTTAGCAAATTAAAATTCCTAACAGCAGCTGATTCATTAAAGAACTCGGAAAATATAGAGAAACATAAATAAAAAGGGAGCTGGTTGAAAGGCAGCTCTCCAACCACGCCGTGTTCAGGGTATTAAACATAAGCCAGTCACTTATGGGGATCTTCTGACAATTTGATCTTTAACTGATTTTCCAGTGTTTGTTTATTTTGTCTTGCAATAAATCAACACCAGAGCTCTCCCAAGAAGCCTGACTCTAGGAATGAGTCAGCAGTGGGATGGGTTTGGGTTTTCTGGATGAAGCCCTTTGTCTCCAGCTCCTCCCACTGAGTGAGGAGGTGGGACAGAGTGGATTTAATCTCCTGTCTGGCTCATGGGAGTAGGTGCTGAGCACACAGTGGGAGGGTGCACAGCTCATGGCCAGGAATGGCAGGTCTGGAGCAGAGAAGATGTGAGAGAACATCTTGATGAGCCCACGGTTTGTGGCAGTTAACTAAGCAAGGCCAGTGTATAAAGGAGTCTTCCAAAAACCCATGCTTGGCCACAGGCATTTACAAGGGACTGACACACATCCCAAATCTCTATCCAATCCCTTGGGAAAGGAGCTGCTGGAGGAGGAGGACAGAAACCCACCTGCAGTTGTGTCATAGGAGGGGTGGGGAAAAGGTCCAAGAGCAATGGGCATGGGGAACAGGTATCCATGCATGCAGAACTTGGGGTGTGCTTGGCTGGCTGAAAAAGAGTAAAAATATTCATTAAATCCCTGTTTGCTTTTGTTTTCTGCAGAATCACCATCACAGCACTCACATGGGCACGTGCTGTCGTGTAAAACCTGCAAAACCCTCACTAAAATCAGAAGGCTGAGGAGGAAAGGAGGAGGGTAAGTCTTGGTTAGATAAATAAAATAAATAAAAATGGTGAGAGAGGGGGGATATCAGAGGATCTGGGTCTGCTACTGGTACATCTTCTCATTTTCATAATCTGAGTCTTAGGTGGGTGTAAATCATGAAAGATGGAACAACTGAAATCAGTGTAAATATTCCTGTTGTTGTTTTCCTCCAGGGAATGTGCCAGAACACTTGGAAGTGGTAAAGGTGTTTGGGTACCAGAACAAGGCTCCTTACAAGATCTCCAGTTGGTGAGAAGGAAAAGCACAATTAGAACAGAAGTGCCCCATCAATATTAATACCACTGAGGCTTATCATGATTAACAGTAATAGAATGAATGTTAAATGAATTAATTAATGGTTGGCCACTTATTTAAATATGTTCCCCAGCTCAAAGGAACACTTTATAATAGGTGGACATTAGTTCATGCTAAATTGACTATGGAATACCTATTGAATTAATTATTACATCCACGAGAGCAGCAAATTAATTTGCCATGATCAATCCTATTATAATAAATACATAAAGAAGCAGCACAAATTTGCCAGTTATCAGAGTGAGTCATTTCACTTCAGGTGACATTACACTACGTATTTTTATACAATGTAATTTGATAGCAAACTCCCTCTCTCCAGCCTGTCCTTTCCTTATCAAAAACTTTGTGTGAAAAAACCTCACATGGTTCAGTTGAATGGTGGCAGTGACTATTCCTGCAAGATTTTACAGGGAACAAGTCAGGGGCTGGGGGAGACAGCAAAGTCATTTGAAATTTTAATCAATGCAGAGTAGATTTATTGTGGGAACCTGCATTATTTGCAGCCCTACGAGGCCACTGTGCTGCTCCACAACCATGTGAGCACCTCTGAGAGGATCGAAGCCCCAGTGGGCAGAGGGTCAAGGTTTCAGTGGTGTTTAAATCCAACACCCTTCACTGCACAAGGGCCACCAGTCAGCAGCAGCTGGGGTCTCAGAACAGGTTTCACCTTCTCCTTTAGTTTTTTTTGGGTTTTTTTTTGAAGAGTAAATGTGCTTTCAGAAAAAAACAATAATTATTTGATATCCCTCTCTGTTTATTCTCACGTGTAATTTGAATGACCTTAAAAAAGCAAAGCAGGCAAGATCTTAAAATAAAGAGCATAAACATGAGTGTTTATGGCCCTCCATGGTCCACCACTGGTCCTGAGCATGCAGACACCACACATGTGCATGTCCAGCCTCCCCTGTGCTGAAATCAGTGGGAGATGGGAATGTTCAGCACCCTTATGGTGGAAAATAGGGTGGAAAACAGAAGACCAGGAAGGGCATGGGCTCAAGTTTAGCAAATTTAGCTGAACACAAACATCAAGAGGTATGTGAGGAAGGGTTGTGGAGGTATGTGAAGCGGGTTATGAAGCCACCACTTCATAAGACTTTGAAAATGATTCATTAAATGGCACAAAAATGTTTCTACATTTCTGTGAACAGCCCTCTGAGAGCAAAATCCAAGTTTAAAAAAGAGCACAGAAAGGACACAGAAAGGGTGAGCCAAGTTTGCTTTCGGGAGGGAGACAATGAGAATGAAAACCATGAAATAAAACCATCTCAGCATCCTCCCTGGGAGCCCTCCTTGTGATTGTTTCCCACTCAAACCATGAGCAAATGCTGTGGGTACGGGGTGGTGGCATCGTACTCACTGTACCAGAAGGTCCAGATGCTCTCTGGGTGGCCCTCACCAAAGAACCAGCACCTCCAGAAGAAGCCCTCATGGTGGAAAGTGAGGATCTCCTTCCTGGTCTCCGTCGGCGTTTCAGCCTGTGGAGGAACGAAAGTCCAGCTGACACAGGGAAGATCAGGGTACAAAGTGTGTATTTTCTTGCTTGGACAGGTGTTGCTTTCATTTTCTGACAGAGTTTTCATTTGTTGTTTCAGTTGGTTTTGGGGAACAAGGAGGCAGCTGCTGTTCTTGACTTTCTGTATCACAGCTCCAAAAGGTTCTGATAACAAATTATCCAAAATCCAGACCTGCACAAACCAGCTTCTTCTTTAATATCCTTAAAGCACTGATGGCCAGAGCTGGATGGGTATGGCAGGGAGCTGAGCATCTGGGTGTGTTCTACTTCTTAAACCCCTTCCTTCAACCCCCAGACCAGACCTGTGAGCACAAGGTTTCAGTCTTTCCAGAAGGGAAGATACTGTAAAGTTTAGCCGAGGATTATTTGTCAAAAAAATTGTTAAAACTACAGCCAAAATCAATTTTATCTTTATTACACACAGTGTGGTAAAGGAAACATGACTGCAACAGAACTATGTTTTGTGGAGGGTGGGGAATGTCCACATGGGAATGGATCCTGTGAACTAGACAAAGGAGATGGGACTCAACAGGGAGGTGCTGGAAGGAACTTATATCATAGAATGGTTTGGCTTGGAAAGGACCTTAAAGACCAATCCCTTCCACGGGCAGGGACACCTTCCACTAGCCCAGGTTGCTCCAAGCCCCGTCCAACCTGGCCTTGGACACTTCCAGGGATGGGGCAACCACAGCTTCTCTGGGCAACCTGTGCCAGGGCCTCACCACCCTCACAGCCAAGAATTCCTTCCCAATATCCCATCTAACCCTGCCCTCTGGCAGTGGGAAGCCACTCCCCTTTGTCCTGTCCCTCCAGACCCTTGTCCAAGATCCCTCTCCAGCTCTCCTGGAGCCCCTTTAGGCCCTGGAAGGGGCTCTAGGGTCTCCCTGGAGACTTTATACTCCCCTCACCGTTTTCATACATTATGACAGATTCCAGAGCTCTGACCTGATTCTCCTTTTCCTTTCAGGATAAAACACTGACTGTGACAAGGGTAACATTCAGTCCTGAACCCTCCTCAGCTGGGTGGCTGCTGACTTGGTGCATCCACAGCAATTCCACTGTTTGCCAGCCACTCAGCCCACCCTTATCTGTGAGGAACAGCATTCGACGGTTTAAGAAAGGACAGAGAAGGTAAAAACACAGCAACAAAAATAGAAATAATAGAAACAGTGTCTGAAATAGAAATAAAATAGCTCAGAGGGAAGAGTAAGAGCAGCTCCTATTTCTGCCTGGTGCCTTTGAAGTGGCTCTGCCTCGGTGACAGGCACGGCAACACTCGGCCAAGAGCGTATCTGAAATGTTTGAGATGCTTATTCACGGCGTGCAGTGAGCCATCTCTGCTCTCTCCACTTTAAAGGACAACAAAAATGGGAAACAATTAACATTGTCACTTCCCAAGTGCTCAAAAACAGCAGCACTTCTCTGTCCACAACTCTGCCATCGCCAGGGCTTTACTGTGCTGCCTGAAATGGTCAAGATCCTCTCCCCGTTTCACTTCTTCAGGCAGTTTTTCCATCATAATGTTTTTTTTCTCAACAGAGAAAGTCATTTGGAACCATGACTCAAGCAAACAGTGCCCCACGTTTGATTGTGGGATTCTGAAATGAAAGGAAAATATTTCTTGCTGGCATCATGATGCTCACCCAGGGTGAGTCACCACACGAGGGAAAAAAAAATCAAACCTAATTGGATTGAACTTTGAAGTAACAAAAAGTCTGCACACAACAAGGATCTTCCTGTCATTTTGTAATTGAAGCCACACATTGATCAGCACAAAAACATTTTGGAGGAGTGGGTGGCTCGAGGAACTGAGCTGGTTGTTATTTCATTGAGGAGTCAGACAACAGCAAGTGCAGCAAAAATCCAGCTTTAGAAAGGATCTGTGAACGAGTGACACCAGTCCTTGGCACTAAAACACCAAACTGTCCTTCAGAAATTACATTTTTCACTAACTAAAATCCTCAGTAAACCTTAATTTGAAAATATACAGGTCTCCTCTTGTTAGATGGGCAGGAACTTGTCAACACTGCTGTGCATTTGATGTTCACTTTTGTTTTCTGTCTCTGCTGCAGTTGTATCACTTCAAATGTAAGTGATTGCCAAGCCCCACACTTCTAAATATGAACTAGTTTTAAATGAAGAAACTACAGAGGGAGAAATCTTTTAATGGCAAATATCAGCAGATATCTTTTGTCTTTAGAAGGAAATGCTGTCAACAACTAAAGCTCTTACATTTTTGCCTTTCATTCCCTAATGTTCATATCTGCCAGATTACAGAGGTGCTGTCTTAATGTTTCCTAGACACACTTTACTTCAGTCAAAATGCTAAATGCCATGGAAAAGCCTGTTTGCATTTTAAAAAATGGAAAGTTCTAGCTCGGGCTGACGTTTCACATTAACAGGTCACTTTGAGCAAAAATATTGTCACGGACTTAAAACTTTTAAATTATTTACAGAAGTTAATTGTTCCAGAGCAAGACAAGATTCCAGAGCTCACCTCCCCGGTGCTCAGAGTGCTGTTCTCATGCTCGAAGACGCCGCAGGTCTCCGTAGCCAGGAGCCAATAATCTGTCCCAAAGGCGACGAGGAAGAGCAAGACGCCAGTGCCGCCGAGGATTCCGGCTGCCAGGGCAGCTATGCCAGCCTTCATGGGGCACCACGAGGGAATGGGGGATCAGAAAAGAAGAAAAACCCTAATTTTTCCTGGGTGGCTGGAAGAGAGGGGCGAGAGGAGTGCTATTTTTGGCCATGGGGTATGATCTCCTGGCTGGTATGAGTTTCAGTGGGTGGTGGAATGGGACTAAGAAAAGCAGATGACCTGGTGGAACCAAACAGCTGTGGCATTAAGGATCATGACAAATCGCTCTGGAGGCAGAGCAGGAAGGGTTCCAAGTGAACACATGGCTGCTCGTGTCAGAGGAGAGGAGCAGGGAGCCCTCAGTCACGGTGCACAACTCCCTGGACACCAGGGAGTTTTTTACAGGCTTTCTGCACAGATTAACAGAAGATGAGCCTGGTGTGAGCAGAGATGAACTAAAATATCTACACCACACCCTGGAGCCCTCAGTGTCCTCAGCCTTTGCTGTGAGACACCTCCAGCTGTGTCCTCACAAGTGCAGTAGAAGTGGCACTTCTGGAACGTGCTTCTCCTTCTTCCTCTGAACAAAACACACCTTTTACACAGAGTAACCCCAGAGATCCAAGAATAACCCTGAAATACTGGTGATATCCTAAATATCCCGGCCCTCTTGGAAGAGATGCACTCAACCGATGCAAACACCTCTACACCAGGCAGGTCCACATCAAGCCACACCAAGCAGGTGGACACACCAACACACCTGGGGTGTCTTGCTGTGGAGCTGTAGGATGATGTTCCCTCTCCTGCCATGGAAGAGTGGCCTATACAGCACACATTCCACTGCCACCACCCCAGCCTGCTGTGGGAGAAGTGTCTCCTGGGGACGAGGACATTCCTGAATGGAATTTCATTGCCATTTGGTTCCTGACGTTTTTGGCTCCTGCTGGAGCATCTGCTGTAGATCACTGCCAGGAATGGGATGCCAGACTAGGAAAATTATAATTTCTGTAGGGCAATAACTATATTCCTGTGACATGCCAGGAGGCTGGGGGAGGAAATTCAAATGACAGTGAAAATCAAATTCTGATTTTCTAACCTTAGCCTCAGTCACAACCTGTTCTAAACAGGGGGAGGGATGAAGATGGTGACTTCCCTATCCTATGGGAATTTGTATTGCCAAATTAACTTCAAAATCAATTTAATATTTAAAGTTACCTGTGATCATATGGGTATCTTAGAGCAACTGCACACTGGTTATGGAACCTGGAGAGGGTTGGGTATAATTTTGACTACACTTGTAGTCAACTGTTGAGGCCTATGGAGTGATGGATATACTCAGTCTTCTTCTATAGGCACAACAGACAAATTGTAATAATTTCTTCTATCCTCTGCATTGTTTTTACTTAAATATTGCAGAGGTAGCTGTTAAAGAGCACGTCATACTTCTCTTCCTCAGTGTCACAGGGGCAGAGCTGCTGTTTGTTCGACCTGAACGTGAGCATCCCATAGGATCCAGGAGTGAGATCCCTGCCCAGAGAAGTCCCCAAACTGACACAGGGGAAAAAGGAAAGGTGGGACAGGTCAAAACTCAGGCACAGCCCTGTGATTCTGCAGGAATAAACACACGCTGCCCCTCCGTGGGCACTGAACTCACCCTTCCATGGTGTGCTGCCACCTCCACTGGAAGCACTCCCAGATCCTGTGATGGGTTCCCATGCAGGTGCTTGTGGTCAACTCTCCCTACACCTCCACTCATCCCATTCCTACACATATTAACCCTCTCCCAGCCCAACCCCTCCCAGCACATCCACTCTTTTTCCATAACATACTCACCTCAGTTATCCATACTTCGCAGCTGCAGTGAGATGAGCTCCTTGTATTGAGCATAAAAGGGTTAATGAAATACAAATCACAACGTATCTATCACCTAAATCATCAATTAATGTAATTTCAGTCACCATTTAAGTAACATGGAGTTCTGGTTAAACCTGTCTGAAGTGACAAGGAGAATCCTCATGATCTCCACCTCAAAGCTGGACACGACTGATGGGGGAGCTTTGGCAACCCTTGAAGGAGCTCAGCAAAGACAAGGCTTTGCCTTTCTGTAGATCACCCTGCAATTGCACGAAATTAAAATGCAAAGTGGGCACTTGTGCATTTAAAATTTAAAAAAAAAAAAAGGGATTAATGCACACTTCCACATTTCTGGGTGTGTTTTGAGTCAGCTGTGTTTGGCATTGCTCTATTTATGCTAATGCACGTTCCCAGTTAGTGCTGTTTGCCATTTGGAAGGTGTCCTCAGCAATTCTGGGTCCCATTGGCAGAGAAACCCCTGCATGGCTGAGGCAGAGCATTGCTGGTGCCCAGCCTTGGCTCCTCACGGGCTGCCTTGTGCCCAGTCAAACATCTTCCAAATTCCCGGGCTGTGGAAGAGGAATTGAGTTCACAAGGTCAAAATGTCTCTCTGTGCAATGACCGTCCCACTCCTGATGGGTGTTCCTTTTCAAGGACAGGTTGGATGGAGCTCTGAGCAACCTGGGACAATGGAAGGTGTCCCTGCCCATGGCAGGAGGTTGGAACTGGATGATCTTTAAGGTCCCTTCCAACCCAGACCACTCTGTGATGATTCCATGATTCCTTGGCGCAGCCTCAAGCACGTGCTCATCACCTTCAGGGTCTGAAAAATTCCTGGACACGATGGACAATGAGACCATGTGGTCTCTCCTACAGCCTGTAGAAACTGGTAATGATGTTGGTTGTCCTTTGCAGCCTGTGTTGGGATCTCTGGAATGCTACACCAAAGCTAGAGAGGTGTACTAACTGAGCACCACCATGATCTGTGCAAACTCAGACACAAATACCCTTTAATTCCCAAGGAAAACAACCCACCCTTTCCTCCCTTACCTCCTGTGGTGCCAGCAGGGACCTGCCTGCAGCATCCTGTTATCCACAGAGGTCAAACTCTGGTGCCACCAAGGACAGCCCTAGGACTTAGGTGGAAGGAAGGCAAAGTTATAACCCTGAGCGTTTTATTGCTTCCTGTTTGATCCTGTTGATTTTTTCCCACTTATTTCAACTGAAATTGTGAATCTCCAAAACAAACACGTTCTAGCAAGAAGCTGGGGCAAGTCAGCTCAGATTTTTCCCAGAAACAGTGTTTTACCTTCTGACTGATCAAAGGCTCCATCACCACAGTCTGTGTTGTCATTATTTCTCGTGGTTTGATCCGTGCTCACCGGAAAATTTACATTTTATGTAGTTAGAGCAACATATTTTCACTTTTTCCTGCTGAAAGCAGAAATTTCTTGGAATTTGATGAACAGATGAGATTTCAGGGCTGCTTGTGGAGATTCCCCCAAGTCCCTTTGGAGATGTTCAGACCTTTCTGCACTGGAGCTTGGCCTGATGATCATGTGTGGTCAAACCCTGGAATAGGCTGTTCAGGGCACTGGTGGAATCACCATCCCTGGAGGGATTTAACAGCCATGTGGATGTGGCACTTGGGGACATGGGTTAGTGGTAGACTTGGCAGTGCTGGGGGAACAGTTGGACTCAATCTTAGAGGTCTTTTCCAACCTCAATTATTCCACCATTCCATGATCTATCACACACTGAAGGATGTTCCACGCAGTGTTTCCACAGGTAGGTGAGGTGAACGTCTCTCGTGAGTCTCTTCCTCTACTGTTGTCTCCACAAACCTCAGAAAAAGGAGAAAGCAAAGACAGCAAAGCCAACCAGACCATGACAAGTGCTACCCAAGCACTTCCAACTTTGCCTTGGAAAAGCCACCAAAATCCCCAGATGGTCACAAAGAGCAATCCCCCAGTCTGACCTGTGCTGGAAGGGAGAGGAACAGATACCCATGTTGACATTTGCACCTTTAATTCTGCATTACAATTATAATCTCCAGTTCATCTCCATCACATGCTCCTTTTTCATGTCTCCCGTCTCCACGTCTCTGGGAAGAAGCACATAAGCCTGGATGTTGAAAGATCCTTAATGTTTCCTAGGAGGTTGAATCCCCTGCAGGACTTGATGTCAAAAGAGAAAAAAGCTCAAATTTGCCTCACCTGCTTCTTAAGCACTGCTGGGCCTTTCCAGGATTAAGCCATTATAATCTCCTTAAGCAGTTGTGAAATTAAATAAACACAAGAGTGATTTTCTGCTCAAAATACAAATATTAAAACAAGTCCACGTGCTGAAATGCCTTTTGGAATTGTGAGTGCTAAGGAGATTTTGCCTGATTTTTGAAGGGGCTGCTTGATCTGTGTGCCTGGAGTTTTTTGAGGTGGCTTTTGGGCTCTCACTTTGCCATCAGGAACAACTTCTGCCCACTTTAACCTGAACTTTCCAAAGACTCCTGTAAACTTCCAGAGTAAACACAGAGCAATAACTCTCTGAACTCCTGAAGGAATCAAACTGATGCAATTTATTTCCACAGAACCATGCAATATTCAATGATACACTGAATCCGTGTTTTCAACACTTTTTAAAGGACTAAAACCCTGGAAAGAATTAATTAGGCACGCTCTGAAGCCTGTGCATTTAACAGTTTTCCACTCGGTTGTAGAATTTTAAGACCACCAACACTGGATACTGGCAAAGATTATCAAAGGTATTCTGGGCTGAAATACAAACTAGTCAGAGGGCTTGGCCACTGAGCAGCTGGAAAATGCTTCATGAAAGCTTTAGCTGGGCTTTTATATTTTGTAAAGAAATTTTAAGAAAAACTCCAAAGTATCCAGAAGGTTAAATTTGGGGCAGAGTGACTCATTGGAAAAGTATGTGCTGCGGGGAATATTGTCTTCTCTGCAGATCAAGCAAATGGTTAATGCAGCAGAGGGGTATTTATGGACTGCAAAGTGGGGCTGGAAGGGAATGGTGGGCTGGGATGTGTGCAGGATCCAGCCAGTGCATGGGAATGTGGGGCTGGATGGAGCAACTTCCACAGCCACGAGCCACAACATCTGGAATTGCCAGAACCTGGGAGATCCTGCCATTGAAATGTCTCCTGTTGTGCTGAAGTGAGATGAAAATGTATAATTCTGAAAAAATGCAAGGAATTTTTTTTTCCTTTTTTTAAGGAAACATGGAACATTTCAGTTCCATTTTCTGGCTGCATCCTCATTTTTCCCCAACTGTTGCCTAGAACAGTATGACAAAATTCCAAAACAGCCACTGT